GAGCTGTGAGGCTGTAATGGGAATCCTGTGTGCTGTGAGGCTGTAATGGGAATCCTGTGAGCTGTGAGGCTGTAATGGGAATCCTGGGTGCTGTGGGGCTGAGAGGTGCCCGACAGTAGTCTGGTAGCAGAGTCTGATGGGAACTGTGGTCCCACCTGGAGCTCCGGGGAGAAAGACTGGGTACTCCGCCCATGCAACTCACAGCCTCAGAAAGCAGGTCACTGGGCTTTTTTGAGAATCATTAAACAGTTCTCACCTACAGGAGCCCTAAAGGACAGAGCAGAAGGTCCCCAGTTTCCAAGGTGGTAAATCTGACGTGAACTGTCACAGTCTCCCAGGCAGGGGCTGGTGGGTTTAACCACCAACTCTCAGCCAACAGAGCACTGTATCCACTGCACCACCAGGGCTCACACAGTCTCCCAGGCAGGGGCTGGTGGCTTTAACTACCAACCCCCAGCCAGCAGAGCATTTTAACCCCTACACCACCAGGACTCCTTTACACTATCACCGTCAACGCTAAATTTTAAAATAGAAACGACCGTCTTCAATTACATTTATACTTGAAGTGGTGTCACATGGCCCGAGTACCAGCTCGACAAATCAATTCTCCACACAAGATCCACAGTTCCTATCAACAATCGGCCACGGGCCTTGGAAATGAGCGTACAGAAGGAAGCGTTCCTTACTGGAACACAGGAGACTCTCACCTTTGTCTGCCTTTTCATCCACAGAGTATTTAAAAAACTTCTGTCGCTCCTCCGCTTGATTCCACAGACTCAGCCCCCGCAGGAGCTCCGCCGTGTCCTTGTGAGAACAGTGCTGGGCGATCACCTTCTTCTTAATATCCTTGAGCTCCTCGTAGGTAAAGTACTCCATCAACATGGGCTGGAAGACCTGGGTTACACAAAACAGTCACCAAAAATACCTCATCAGTTGTCCGTATGGCTTTTAAACCATGAACTGCTCTAAAGCCTAGATGTTTCTATGACTTATAAACATGACTAACACTGAGTCTAAAACTGGTCAATGAGACGGTTTACTCCACGGTTTCTCCAGTTAATCAATTAAACCCTAAATAATGTGGAAGCTTGTCAAACACTCTTATTCATCATTTTCTAATTGTTGACCATTTATGTCAGGAAATGCTTCTGGAACGCCTCCAGGCAGGGCCTCTGTGCTGAAGAGGAATGAGACCTGCACCCTGGAACCTTAAACCAGAGCTGGCCTAAGACCTGCTGCTGGTCGTAGTGTCTGATGGTTCTGGAGATGGTTCCTGACAGCACTGGTGTCATACAGCACCAGCTCCCAGAAAGGTTTCCTCCAAGCACTGTTCTCGTACAACGGCTCTCTAGGAAGAATTATCTTGGGGTGGTTTGTTGTTTTTTCAAAAAGAGATGCTTAGTCCCAATCTCCAATGCACATAATCAAAACCTTTAAAGCAGGTGCCACAGGGTTTTTTCCCGAAGTTTCACAGATAATTGTGTTGTGCATCACAAGTTATGAAACAGCCCTGCTCGTCAATTCGGGCTGCGCACTACAAGGGCTTGGGCATCTTTACAAAGACACCCATAACCAATGCCTCCCATTTGCCTTCATTTTTATTTAACTGGCCTGGAGAGGGCTTAGAAGTAGGTGGCTGGTGGGTTTTCGTTCTTCAGCGAACAGCCTGATTATGACGTCATAATTGAGAATCACTACAGTAACTTTGAAGAGAATGATGGGCACTCTCCTCCCATGCGACTAACCACCTCTGAAAAGCCTCTGGAGGGACAGCTATGGGGCGGTTCCGACTCGATGTTACACAATCACATAGTAACTGATTTATAGCTGATCAGGTGCAAAGTTACTCATAAAATTCTTTTTTGGTTCCACTCATCTGGTGACACCATAATTCAGGTGCACCAGGCCCGAGACTGCTAACTTTCAGCTAAGATCCAAAGTAAAAACAGTGCTGTGGAATGAGTTCCACCTTCGCGGCCCTGCAGGGCTGCCCCCAGGGTTCCCAAGGCTGCGAATCTTTACAGGAACAGACCCCCACCTCTTTCTCTATCCAAACAGCTGACGTGACCAAACCCACATCCTTTCAGGTAACAGCCACGGGTGCAGTCACTGCACCACCAGGGCTTCGAGCCCTTTAAAACCACGGTGAATCGTCCAAATTCACAACTGCAGCTCAGAGCTCTAAAAATGTTGCACCTTTACCACGAAAACACAGGTTAAGTATTAAAAAGTCTAAAGAGGCTCCTGAAAATTCTCAAAAGATATAAAGTGTTAACATTCAACACAGTGCCAGCTGCTTAATAAGAATGGAAGTATTTGTTGAGCAAATAAATCATTCATTTAGTGCAAAGCAACCGTGCAGGAATAAAATGAGTGGGTTTTTTTCCTTGGAGTTTTTTGCTCCAGTCCCCAATATGAACTGGCAACTTCTCTCGACCAGGCAGACACCCTGTCCAAAGCGTTCCTCTGAAGCTCCCCAGACAAAATAGGAAGCAGGCAGCAACCCGTTCTCTCCATACACTGAAGGCTGCTGGAGTCAACCGGACTTGAGGACTTGACAGTGACCGGCAACAAAAACAACGACAAATGAGTCCTCAAATCCCGTAACTCAACATCAAAAGGGACAGAACTTCTGCTCACCTCCTCTTCCTCTTTCATGTGAGGAAGAAAGTCACTGGTGAAAGCCTCCAGCCTCTCTTTCAGCTGTTTCGCATAATTTAACTGTTCGTATTCATTCTAGGGGGAAACAAAACAGGAAAAGATCAGGATAGTAACAAAGGTTTTGTTTCATTATCACTATTTTGTCTGACAGCAGGAAATTGATTTAAAAAGCAACATAAGGGGGGAGGGGGAGGGGTTTGTGCGGGGAGAAGGGTGCAACAATGAATGAATGGAATCCCAAAATCTCTGTAGATGTTCATTGAAATGAAAAATAAACAACCTAAATTAAAAAAATAAATAAAATAAACACACAAATTTATGCTTTACTTTAAAAAAAAAAAAAAAGCAACATAAAATCTCAGAGAAACAAAAACCAGATGAACAAACCTTGAAGTGGTGTCTATGACTATCTTGGTCTAAAAGTTGTCCTCAGGGTAGATGTTCTTCAAAATCCTTCAGCTACGTGAGCTAGTATTTCTTTTTCAATTTCACAAACATCTATAAATAATGTCTTCAAAATTTCTACAGACTCTCAATTTTTGTACCTACGGAATGTCTCTACAAAGGTCTTCCTACTGTACTTCTGAGAAGTCCACAGAGGATGCCGGGCTCTCTCACGGCAGAATCCCGGGAAGGTTTTCACTCTATCCTCTGAGGAGCCCAGGTGGGACAATGGGTAACTGCTTAGCTGTTAAATGAAAGCTGGCAGTTAAACTCCACCAATGGTCTCTCGGAATAAAACTGCTGGTTTCTCCCATGGTTTCTGGAGATCTGCTCTCACAGTATCATCAGTCTTGGAAACTCGAGAGGCCAACTGACTTTGCTCTACATGGCCTAGTGGTTAAGGAGCTATGATGCCAAGCCAAAGGCAAACTGTTTGAATCTACCAGCTGCTCTGAGCAGAAAGACTGGCAATCTCCTCCTGCACAATTTACCACCTCTGAAAACCCACTGGGGGGTCGCTTAGACTCAGTGGTATAGCACACAACAGAAACAGGGTTACTATGAACGAGAAATCATCTTGGTGGCAAAGAGATTTTTTGGTTTTAACACAAAAGTGTAATTAAAGAACAATCTTTCCTGAAAAGGGTGAAACCAAGCTTCTCCTTGAAGGCAAGAATTTTGAAGGTCCATCTCATGAACTTTGGGCACGTGACCGGGAGGGACTTGGAGAAGGACATTATGCTCAAAAGAGCAGAGGGACAGGGCAGTAGAGGAAGACCCCTGATGAGATGGATTGACACAGTAACTGGGGCAATGGGGATTGGTGTGTCGGAGTCAGTGAGACTGGCTAAGGACAGGGCAGGCATCTGAGCTGCTGTAGATAGGGATGCTAAGGGTCAGAGGTGATTTGATGGCACATAACAACATCATTCCTCTAAAATGTATTAAAAAATATATTTCATTTTAGATTATACAATCAAAATTAATCCTATCTGACTACTGCTGCTTGCTCCCTACAGTAAGGAAAAACAAATACAATAAATATAGATGGCTTTCAATTTTAAAATAAACTAAATTAAAAGTCATTCATATTGGGTAGCACTTTTACCTTGAGTGATCAACAACTTCCCTTCAAGGGTTATAATCAACATTATTGGCATGTAGTCATTTTTATGGTGACATCTTAAACTTGTTAATAATGAACTCTATGATTTGAGGCAAATTCATTACAAAATATTACTATATAATAATAGTTGTCGACTGCTGTCGAGTTGAGCTTGACTCATAGCGACCCTATGAACAAAAGGCCAGAAAGCTTTCTGTAACTATTGACATTTATCAAAGTTCATAGAGTTTCTGGAGGCAAGTCGTTTAGGAAGTAGATGCCACACAGGTAAAATCATTTCTTTTTATGAAATGCTACCAAGTTTTGGGAGTCACACGAAAAGATGGGAGAAGCTGTGGTAGTTCATCTGTGTCCTTCGTCACTCACCTTCACATTCTTGAGGCCCTTCTCAAAGAGGCTGAGCATCTCCGAGAGCTTATTGTCCGAGTGGACGTTATACACCGTCTGGCTGCGTTGCTGGAGCAAACCTATAATGTACTCGTTCTCAATCTGCTCGTGCATCTTGAACTCCTTAAAAGTAGCGTACAGGGACTGCAGGAGAGCGCGGAAGTCGTTGTTGTTGGAAAAGTTGGTTTTAGAAAGCTGAGGAAAAATCAGAAAGGGCATACTAAATACATGCAAACAAGCATCAGTAAGAAATATTCCAATGAACTCCTTTTTGTTTTCCACATACTAAAATACTGCCCATACACCACACTAAACTAAGTACAAATAAAGGGAATTCATCCATTCACAAGGCCCTGCAGTATAAGAAACAGTACACCAGGTCAGGAAGATGTCAGCTTGCACCCCGAGAAGGTGATCATAGATCATCAGAGAAAGGGTTTCAGACCAAGCCACCCAGAGAGCTACAGTTCTATTACTCTGTCTGTAAACAGAACAGGAGGCCTGACAGAGGGGTGGAGAGTGTATGAGGTTGCTAACCGAAAGTCCGACAGATCGAATCCACTCGCTGCTCTGCAGGAGAAAGATGGGCCGTCTCCTCCGGCACAGCTGTACAGCCTTGCTGAAGTCACAGTCAGTCATCATGGGTCGGAAGAGACGTACCAGCAGTGAGGGACGTGCATTATGAGGGAGCACTGGTGTCACTGTCAGCTGAACGCCGAACTGCTAATCTAAAACGTCAATGGTTCGAGTCTCCTACTTGCCCCACAGAGAGATGAAGCAGTTTGCTCGTGCAGAGATCAAGCCTTGAAGATGCTAGGCAGCCATTCTACCATGTCCTACAGGGATCCCATGAGGTGGGACCGACTCAGTGCAGGGACTTTTGTTTCACAGGCATGTAAAGAAGCCCTCTGGCGTATACACCACCTCTGTCCTGGAGGAACTTGAACCAGACCTTAGAGACAAGGATGCTGGAACCTGGTGAACCTGGTCTCACTTCTGTGAGTGTGCTGTCGGGCGAGGCTAATCCCTGGGGGAAACATTATGCTGGGAAAGGTAGAGAGTCAGCAAAGAGAGGATGACCCCCAACAGGATGGACCGACACAGTGAGCAGAACAACATGGCTGAGGGTGGTGGACACTGTGTGGACGGCGCAGGGCAGGACAGGGTGCGGACCTGCTGCTCACAGGGTTGCTGTGAGTCCAGTCAACCCACCGGTACACAACCACCACGAAGGGGTCCAGGTGCCGCGGGCTGTCTGAACTCACTCCACAGGGCCGCAGAAAAAAGGCGCTGGCAAACTGTCCTAGCAAAGATGACGGCCAACGAAACCTATGGGACAGTTCTACTGTCACATCGGGTCACTAGAGTCCAAACTAACTCAGCACCTCACAACATGTATCTACCAGACAAACAGCCACTTAAAAAGGGAAAATTAGTGCGCAGATCGAAACCACCAGATGCTCCTCTGGAGAAGGAGGGGCAATCTCCTCCAGTGCCGGTCAGATCTGATTCAACAGTACACACACAGACACACACACACACACACACACACACACACACTCTCTCTCTTAAAAAAAATTTAAAAAGGGGAAATTAAAATAGCTGGGTAAGGATACTGTGTTAAATGCTTAAATCTCTTCTTTGCTGTTTATGCTGTTACACCACTTTTAAAATTTAAAATATTCCATTACAATTTAAACTTTAATATAAAAATTAATCTGCAATGAAAGCTAGTGTGAAATACCAAAGTCTGTAAGCAAACCAATATAAAATAAAAAATATTTTACATTTAGTCTGATCTCTTCAGAAAATACACATACTCTTCATTTATCAACATAGTTAGGTTCCAAAGACCAGGTCGTTACACACAGGGAAGGTGCCTACATCATTCAATAAGTGTCAGATCACACAATCCCCCGTCCAGGAGACACACACCTCAACCTTCACAGCCAGTGTCGGTTACTCACGCCTCAGCTCTGCATTCACACTGCCAGAGCATTAAGCTCAGAATCATCGGAGCAGAGCAGACTTCACTCCTGTCATACAGATGGGGCGTCAGAGAACAAGGTGGTCACCAGGAGAGGAGGCAGCATAAAGCAGACCATTTGGGGACGATTTCTTCTCCCTTTTACCTTTTAATTGTGGGATGGTGCTTTGCTGCTAATTGGAAAGCTGGAATTCTGAGGTCACCCAGAGGTACCGCGAGAGAAAGGCCTGGTGATCGACTTCTGAGTCATCAGTCCCTGGGGCCCCAGGGAGCACAGCTGTGTGCTACACACACAGAATCACCAGCAGGCAGAGTCGCTCCCATAGCAAGTGGTAATTATTTTTTTATAAGAACAGGGATTTCGGCCTTTCTACGAAGATGATGCCAAAAAGCGAAGGAGGAAGCCCCCGCCCCTCCCAAAACTGAAGCCAAAGCACAGGCATTAAAGGCCAAGAGTCGTCCTGAAGGGCATCCACAGCCAATAAAATAAGAATATCCGCATGTCACCCACCTTCCGGAGGCCTAAGACGCTGAGACTCCTAAGGCAGACCAAGTACCCCCAGAAGAGCGCCCCCAGGAGAAACAAGCTTAATCACTATGCCATCATCAAGTTTCCCTGACCGCTGAGTCAGCCATGAAGAAGACAGAAGATAACACACTTGTGTTCACTGTGGATGTCAAGGCCAACAAGCACCAAATAAAACAAGCTGTAAAGAAGCTCTATGACATTGATGTGGCCAAGGTCAACACTCTGATTAGACCTGGTGGAGAGAAGAAGGCCTATATGTCCGACTTGCTCCTGACCATGATGCTTTGGATGTTGCCAACAAAACTGGGATCATCTAAACTGAGTCCAGTGGGCTAATTCTAAATACAAATTTTTCTCACCAAAAAAGAAAAGGGATTTCGAACAGTTAACAGCTCACAGAACTTTCAGGCAGGAGTCATTGAAATAGTGCAAGGCAGGAATCTGTACATGAGAAAGGAAATGCACTTGACTCCACCAAAGCACAGAAAAACACACACACTGTCATGTCATTAAAAAGACTCAAGAAAAAACAATTTCTGCGGTAATTTTCAGGGTTTTTAAACCCAATTCTATCGTCTGAGGTATGCACATCATGTTGCTATGGGCCACGGAGCTGGAACCAACTCACAGCTGTCCACTGAGCTTTCCCAGGCTGTAAACCACATGAGAAGAACCAACCACCTCTTTCCTGCAGAGCAACTGCTGGATTCAAACCACCCACTTTGGGTTGGCAGAGCAGCTCCTTTAGGAAACAAAGTTCAAAACAAGACTCAAACCTCCCACCACTTACAGTGACTGTAACTGACTGCTGTTGGTTCAGGGTCTGTGCACAGTGACCTGCTATTGGGTTTTTGAAGCCACAAATCTTTGTGAGAGGAGACTGCTCAACTCCAGCCATCAGTTTAAAGACTAAGGTGCACCTGATCCAAGCCCTGGTCTGTTTCAATCACTCGCTAAGCATCTGAAAGTTGGACAATGACTAAGGATGACATAAGAAGAACCAATGCCTTTGAGCTGTGGTGGTGGCGGTGGTGAAGAGTACTGAATATCCCACAGACTACTAAGAGAACCACCAAGTATGTCTCGTAGAAAGCGTGACCAGGGTGTTTCTTGGCTGTAAGTATGGTGAAGCTTTGTCTCACATTGTTTGGACATGATATTAGGAGAGTAAAGACCTTAAAAAAGAATATCGTTGAACAGACACTTCACCAAAGACATTCAGATGGCCAACAAGCACATGAAGAAATGTTCAAAATCCCTAGCTTTAAGAGAAATGCAAATCAAAACAACTATGAGATATCATCTCACCCCAGTCAGAATAGCAAAATTTAACAGAACAGCAAGGAACAAATGCTGGCGAGGTTGTGGATAATCTGGAAACCTTTATTCACTGTTGGTGGGAATGTAAAATGGTGCAACCACTGTGGAAAGCGGTATGGCGCTTTCTCAAAAAGTTGCAAATAGAGATACCATTTGACCTAGCAATTCCACTACTGGGAATATACCCCAAAGAGACCGTAACTGCCATCCAAGCAGATAAATGCACACCAATGTTTATCGTGGCTTTGTTCACAGTAGCAAAGATTTGGACATAGCCTAAGTGCCCATCAGCAAACAAATGGTTAGAGAAGCTGTGGTATGTTCACACAATGGAATACTACACCACACTGAAAACTAAGGAACTCATGTAACATTATTCAAAATGGGTGACCCTGGATGACATTATGCTGAGTGAAATATCTCAGTCACAAGGGGATAAATACTGCATGGTGCCACTGCTGTAGAATGGGACTGACATCAGGGTTGGGGTAAGACTGAGAAAAAACTGGGTAAGTTATGTATACTGTATTGAAACAGATGAGGGAAAGAATGGATTAGAGGCGATATATGATTGAGTATTATGGTTAGCACAGGAGTCCAAAATTAAAGTTGCATAGAGAAGTGTATTCAGTGTGTGTGTGGGGGGGGGGGATTGTATACCAATGAAGGAATTTTTTTTTCCAGAGAGAGGAGCGAACTGGTGGGGAGGGGTGGACAGGGAGAAAAGTCAGCAATGAATGAATGGAAATCCAAAATCTCTGTAAATGTTTATTAAAATTAATAAAAGGGGGGGAAAGAATATCGTGCTTGGAAGGGTAGTAAGTGCAGGCGAGGAAGACCTTCAACAAGGTAGTCTGACACAGTGACTTTAGTAGTGGGCTCAAGTCTATCATAACTGGTAAATGGGACAGGCTCAGGTCTGATGTTCACAGGGTCACTGAGCCGCAGAAGACGTGATGATACATAACAAATGTAACAGAACTAAGAGCCTCTTCGGTAAGAAGCAGTGTGGATTAGGCATTAAGAGAGAACCAGTTGGGAGTAGGATTTGCTGGGATCAGATGTAAAAATAGACAGCTCCTGAGCCAAACGGAAAACCAGCAGGCAGGATAGATTTGGCTAAATCCATGTTCAAGATTTAAAGTCATATATAATGTTACAGGAGAGCACAGGAAAATCTGAAAATGGCAAATCTCTACAGATACTACCATTTATCATTTCATAAGCCTGTGCATTTTTTTAAATAATCCAAAAGATGGTAAAAAAATAATGCTTTCATGGAAGTTAAAGAAAATAACGCATTAGAAGATAAGTATGAAGAAAAAAAAAAGAAGATAAGTATGGAGTCTGACA